GTTAATAAAAATAAAGAGACAATAACAATAAATAAATAATAAGACAGATAATATAGCAAAAAAAAAAGTAAATATACAAGATAAAAATAAAATTATAGAAGAAACTGTCTTAAGATTCAATATATTACTTTGTTAAAAAGATAAAATAGTAAAATTTTTTTTTTTTTTTGTTCAAGGCTGATATTATCGGTAGCTACTGTCTTTATTTGTGTTTTAGTTAATGCATTACATTGAACTTGTACAAGGTAAGTGTGCAACTAGCCACATGTGTAACTTTTGGTTACCTATTTAAGTAGTCTGCCCAAGAGTTTCTACACTAGCTGCCATGCCTATAACCTACTAGGAGGGTACCTATTTAAATACTCTGATTCTTATACTGCACCCAGGCAAGTAACACCTGGTTCTCATATACCTAAGTGCTGTTTAACCTAACATTTTACCTTCCTCTTTTGTATGTCTGTCAAGCTGTTACACATTTTAGAGCACATCACCTGACTGTAAGGTTCTAGAGTACTTTCTTGTTAACTATCTACTCATTTTACAGAACATTAACAAGGCTAGTTCTTGTAGAGTTCACTCAGATTCTAGCACCTACTTCACAGCATATCTCTAGTACTTATAATATACCCCTGCTTTGTCTCCAGACTTCTAATCCAGATAGCCCAGAAGGACTGTGACCTGTCTTTGGTATATCGAGCCAATCTAATATTCTTTTCCTTCAGTTTGATTCTAGTAGCCTAGTTGGTGGTACTCTCTACCTGAGGTTCTTGCCCATCTAGCTCCTCTATATTGGTATTTGTTTCCTAGATCTAGCCTTTACAGTAGTACTGTCTAAGATCCATATTACCTTTCTACTCAGGTCTTCTCAAGTGGGCTCCAGTTTCTCAGTTATATGGATTTACATAACTATAAAGACTTATTTTAGGTTTGCACCACCCAGTATCAGTTTGCATTTCTCTGTGTAACCAAGATTACACAGATGTCCCATGACCTGCCAGTTATGCTGGTGTGACTATAGTTACAGGTATTTTATCCTAACTGATCGACAGAATATCGTTACCATAATATCGTCTATGTATTACATAAGTAATTATCCAAATTTTCACCATCAGTAGGTTTTGAACTTACAATCTACCACTTGGGAAGTTAACAACTTAACCACTTCACTAAGTCACCACACCCCAGTAGAAATTTTAATACAAGACTTTATTAAAGAAATTCTTAATATTAGAAACAATGCAAATTGAAACTATATATCAGCAATTAAAAAATTAGAACCAGAAAGAAAAAAAAATAAGTATTGCTAGGTACTATTATAAAAAAAGATCAAGAACCAGATTAGAACAAAATGTATCTCAACTAGAAGAAATAAAAAACTGAATACACTTTAAATATATACAAAAAAAGATACTTATACTTAAAGAAATGATAATATGATGATTAGGCTTATATGCAAATGTAAATTGTATAGTTTGCAAAAAAAAAAAAGAAGAAGACCAGGATCATTTAGCAACATGCTCTTTTTACAAAGGTTACTGAATAAAAACAGAAACATTAGCAATAATAATAATATAAAACATATTTTTTAAAAAAAGAAAAAAAGTATTACTCAAATATAGCTAAAAGAAACAATTGAAAACCAAACAAAAAAGAAAAGCAGAAATAAGAAAAAAATTTATTAAAGATCTTTTACAAAAGAAGATAGTTAAAATAGTACAAAATATTCTGATCTTAATATAAGAAACAAAAAATTTCTTAATAACTATAATAAATATTATATAAAACAAATTTTATAAAATAATTTAAAAAGAAAAATATAGTAAAGTATCTAAATAGAAGAAGAGTCAAGAAATCAGTATAAGAAAAAAAAAAACAAAAATAAAGCAATAAACAACAAAATATACTATCACACAAAGTGTTACCAAGATTAAGAGACAAGAACTTAGAAAAAATAAAAAATATAAAAAAAAGAAAAGAGACAGAAAATAAAAAATAGAAGACTTATAGAGAAATACAATAACAAGAAGCCTTACTAGAATGGCTTCAAAGGCTAGCTAAATAGCCATCTAATAGTAAATATAAACTTACTCTAATGCAGTAGATCATCTTTAGATGCTTATATAGTAGTTAGAGGATGTTAAATCTAAAAATTAAACTAATATTTGTATAGTTATATATATAATTCTCTTATTAAAAAATTTTAACAAAGTTGCTAAAAAGTTAAAAAAAAAAAATACTAAGTTTATTTTAAGATTAAATTAGATGTATTACTAATTTAGATTTTTTACACAAAGTAAATAAAAAGATTGTGAATTTGTTAATCTATATATAATTTATTTTTTATAATAGTTATAATATTTATAACTATTATAACTATTTTAATAATTATAACTATAATAATAATTACAATAGTTATAATTATTACAAATTATAGATTTAATATAATATAATACAATTTTTGATTGCAATTGTAATTAAAAATTACAATCTAAGTTGTAATTCAAAATAGTAATAATTATTACTTACAATAAACAACTTTAACTAATAAAATTAATAATAAAAAAAGATTATTTTAATATTAAAAAAACAATAAATAAATATAATAATAATTATTAATCTTTTAATAAATTATAAGTATAACAACTAATGTAAAACTCTAAAATAAACTACTTAAAATAAATAATCAAACATTGCACATATGACTAGTTGTACTTGCATTGTTATAAAAATAATTGTAATAACTAATTCTAATATGCCAATAAATATACCACTATAAAGTATAACCTTTAACAATAAAAAAAATAAAAAATAATTATTGTTAATAATTATAAAATTTTTATTACAAGTAAATAAATTTAATATTAGAATTAAATTAAGAGTTTATATATTTATAAAATTTAATGCTAAAAAGTTTTGCTTAGAAGTTGAAACATAGTTTTTATAATAAAATCTTGAGTTATTTGAAATTTTGATTTTTTTTATTTTCTTCACTTTTGGTTTAGTTACACAAGATCCAGTGATCTGATTGATTTTTATACAACCAGATGATATTACCTAGAATGAAAATTAGCAATAGTCTTTCAAGTATATTTGAGTAGCAATTATTCATTTTATATGCTCTTGCTAGTTATAATTATAACTATTGTTTTTGTTAGTAAAACGTTTTTAATGATAGTAATTAGATTATTATTTAACCTCGTTTTTGAAAATATGTTACAGATTTCAATTGTAAATTTCAATATGTTTGATATAATCATTGCTGGTTTTTGTTTTCTTTGTTTTTTATCTAAAATTTTTTAAAAAAACTATATATTGATAGTAATTCTCTAGATTACAATTAATATACAACCTTACTGTTAAGTGTTATTATTAATAATTACTAATGATATATAGCAAAAAATTCATTAGATTTGTTCAAACTTATTTACGAATTTTCGAAAAGTAATGGGCCGATGGCCAAGGCCTGACATGTATCACTTGTTTTATTTGTCTTGTATAGGCTAGTCGGCGGAATTAGACCATGACTGGAGTCACCAAATTTAATTGAACCCTTTAATTTCTTTTCCTTGTTCTGAAAGGATTTAATAAAAAATATAATAAACCGCGGATTTCACTATTTCGTAACTCAGGTTTCACACTGTTCTGTTATTATTACGAATAAATGTTAAATTTTTCGCCTCAAAAATGAACTGTCTGCCAGGCAATTGTTTTGTTAAATAACCTGTCCTATCAAAAATTTTTTGAATATTAAAATTTTATGCTGTATATTTCCCCATATTAGCCCATATCGATATGCGAACAATTCCCAGTGCTTTCCTTAAATTGGTAGCCCCACTTTTATGTACGTATAATCAATTGATTAACGTTAACAATACATATTATTAAAAGGGTCACCTATACTGCAAGGGATCCAGCGAATGGATTTTACCCGATAGATAATTGAATAAACCTTACTGTCCCCCTGTTCGGATCATTCGGATATTTCCATGGTGCATATCGGATAAGTGACACAATAGAAACAATCTCAATTATTATTGCGAACACTAGATTATCGTAATATCGATATGTAATAGACATAATACGTATTATGATATAATAAATACGTATAATAAATATAATATGCATCTGTATGTACCTTCAAGATATCCGTATGAGCCAATAACTATTTTACAACAGGGGGGTGGTTTAAACCGCGAAATACGGTACAATACATGATCATTAATTGCATGACAGATAATCGTACGTATAATTAGTTTTCATTGTAAATTTTTATATGCTTTGTATTAGGGGAAAAAAGGTATATCGATATGGTTAATTATACAAAATTTTGGTTTTTTGATGTACATAATCACGTGAATGGACAAATAGACTCCGTATTACGATATATTTGATTATAAATTACCGGGTAGCCACCCAACTTGGATAGTAAATATCTCAAACGTTAGAGTTAGATAAGAATTGTAAGTAAAAGATATTTCCAATTAATCAACAACGTTCGGGAATCATGTGATTGTCGAGTCTTCAACTATTTTAACTTGACGTAAATATAACTAATTCTCATCTTCCGTCAAATTTCTTCATAATTAAAAACTAAAATGCACAATCTCCAAACCATTTTTATTTAGTGAAAGTATATTAATAATTTTGTAATTCAAAATAATCTTTATCTATAAGTACTTTTAACAAAACATACCATCTTAATGTCGTCAAACGTCAAAAAAATGTACAGAAAAAAAAAAGGAATTTAAAACATAGACACAAGCCAAATAAATATTTACTTGGTGTGTTGGAATCAATGTTCTATCAAATTCATTACTCTACCGCTCATTAACTTTTTTTTGTTTTTCATGCCTACATTATTAAATCTAAAGCATAATTGTTCAAAAATATTCAACATGCATAAAGAAAGACTAATCTGTATTTTTTTTTTTTTTTTTTTTGTGAATAGAAAGATAGATCTATATCTTAACAGTATATTTTTTATATTTTCACTATAAACTTTACTTATTTGTTTCAAAGTTGTCATCATCATCCGAGTCTTCAACTCTTACCTTTCTTTTTCTAAAGGGACATAATCCAGGTGGTGATGTCTTTGTTCCAACATATGGAAAATACCATCTAGTATTTGGTATAACAGAATCAATGGACTTTTTTAAAGGAGTTGGTCGAATCTTGGGAGAAGTGGGAGAATTTTCAGATGTTGAGGAGAAAATGTCGGATGAACGGTCTTTAGTTTTAAGTGATTCACAAGAACCTTTAGAAATTTCATCACCCTTAGCATTTACATCAGTTGATGAAGGTTTTTCAGTGCATTCATTATCTTCTTCTGCGGAATAAAAAGTTTCTTCGTATATTGAAATATCATCTCCATCCATGGTTTGATTTACCTCATCTCGTGATGATTCCATAGCATTCATGATCGATTGTTTTGATGATTTTGATGAATTAGACGGTTGCGTAGATGTAGATGATACCTTGAGCTCATCACGATCAAGTTTTACCCTTTTCTTGTCACCTCGAGTCAAGGTCGTTTCCTGTTGTGATTGTGATGTCACAACGGCCTTTTTTTTTTTTGATAATTTATTAAAATCGATATCAACTTTTTTTCCTTTATTATAAGATTGGCTCTTAGAAATTGAATCTATATCGGACCTCACGATACGGATACCACTATTCTGAGGGCTTCTAGAAGATTGAGAATTCATAATGGAAGCGTCCGGAACGGGAATAACGGTACCCCCAGATTGTCTGACATTTTGTTGACGATTTATATATACCTGTCGATATGGATCTGATTTTTTTATGTTATCAGGCTTGTTTATAGGAAATTTTCTCATCATCGATGGTAACGTAGGAGTGGTTGGCGAAGACTGAAGTGAACGTGGGTCACGTGGAGTTAACGGAGTTGATAATAATGGTATATTAGATCCGTTAGATGGAGAAGGAGAAATGATATCACCTGAAAAACCTTCAGGTGTATTTTTAGTCGATTGTGATTTAATCGTAACTGAGGAAGAAGATTTTGGGGTCTTCAAAGTCGCGGCGGGAGATTTTGGAGTTAGTAGTTGAGGTGGGGGAGGCTTCGAATTAGCTTTTTGTTCAATCTGAATAGGAATTTTTTCTTCAACGATACATAAATTGCTCTTTGACATCGCAAGCTTTGCACTTTCATACATGGCCTTTTCGTCTTCATGTTTTTTATGATAAGGCTAAGTTTTGAGATTAAAAAAAAAGGTTAATAATAATTATATATATGATGATGTATAGATAAAAAAAAAAAAAAAAAAGAGATTGAGAAGAACAAGTATAACTAATTTATATTATATTAATGATCAATGATATTAATGATAAATTAATACCATCTTTTCTCTTTTAGACATATTTTTCCATCTAGCACCAATAGCAGCAGAAATTTCACCAAACTTCATCCTCGGATTTTTTGCTTTTGTCTCTTCATATACTTCATTCATGAAAATCATATAACCGTTTCTCGGTCGTTTAAGCCTCTCATGAGGTTGCATCCTCCTATTATCAGCATCAGAACCAGAATTACCACGAGATAATTTTTTCTTATATTTTCTCTTTGGTTTATTTTGATTTTCAAAACTGCTTTCATATTCGAATAAAGTTTGAGAAGCACGCCTCCAAGAATCAGCAGCCATATTATAAGCTTCAGCAGCCTTTTTATATTATATTAAAAAAAAATAAACAATATATATATATATAAAGATATATAAATAAATAAGTAAATAAATATATATATCTATATAGATTACAGATATATCTAATAAACCAATTATTAAAATAAAAGTTACACACAGCAGCAGTCTTCATGGACATTGCATCCAAAACTTCATGATTCAAGATCATTGAATTTGCACGATTAAAGTTTGCTAAATCACCATCAGGGACTAATTGAATCTGCGGACCACCTGGATAACTAATAGGAACAACTGAGAATACATCACTTATGGCCGGTAAAGTTTGATTTGATCGATGATTGTTTGGCACGGAAGATCTATGATCCGAATTATTGGAAGTGTTGGACGTATCGGCGTTGAGAATATTTGCGATGCTCGCTTTGTTACTCATGGAAGATTTTTTACGCGATGTAGACTAGAAAGGTCCAGTTATAAAGATATATCAATAAGGTAACGTTTATACATTGTCAAATAATAATCTTTAAAGAGAAATATATAAAACTAGTTTTAAGCAGTTTAAAAGGTTTAAAATATTAAAAATATGATCGTCTGTTCAAACATGGTAAAAGGAACTTTTACAATCTTTTCTCTTAGATATTTTACAAACTTACCTTTCGACTTGTTCAGATGAGGAAAAAAAAAAACGTAAATGGTTTATATAAAGAGTCAAATTTTCACCTTCTTAACTACTAAAAATATTTTTACATATCATAAACGTATTAAACGTCTTGAAAGCAGCAGAAAAAAAAAACGAAAAAAAAAATTATTGGTTTATAGTAATATTGATAAATATCGATATTAATACGTAATTATATCATTGTGGCACGTGATGAGGAAGATCCACTCGTAATATTTTCAGCTAAATGAGTAATACGTAAATAATAAATAAATAATATATAATAATAATAATAATAATAATACATATTTAAGGTAGAGTGTTATGCACTTTAGAGGTATTATCTGTTATTGTTATGGTGCGTACGTAAATATTTTGAGCATACGGAGGTGGCAAAAATGAAGTAACAAAATTTATACATTTATGATGTAAGATATTATATTTCAATATAATATTTTTTTTTTTTTTTTTACAAACTTGTTTTACAACCCTTTTTTTTTTTTTTTTTTTACAAAACTTTCTTTTTTTTTTTTACATATTAATATTTATTTATTAAAAAAAAAGAACTTGAGTATTGTAAAAAGGAAACAATTTATCCGCAAACATATAAATCAAGGAGAATGAGATTTTACCGTTATCGTTATGATAATTCGCATTTAAAGATATATGCGATTGGTTGACGATTGCATTGATTTGTGCGGCTCGAAATATATAAATATAAAGATTTGCATGCGTTTGTATATAAGCACATACATACGAGATATACGCTATTTCTTAAAGTTGGGCCTAGTAATTGGTAAAATAAATATGGACTTTAAAATTAACACAATTTTGGTTAAATTATTCACTTTTTTGACAAAGATTTTCCAGTCAGCAGTCAATGTTGACGGTTTTTTATATAAATATGGAGAGATTAACTTTATTCGAAATATAGTACGATATATATATATCAATATACTTTAAGTAATCTATTTCTGATAAGGTACCATGATAATGATACGGTAATAAATTCATTGTAATTCGGTGTCATTGATATTTTCCATTCTTATAAATTCTAAAGATAAATTTCTTAGTGTATCTCTACGGGCACATATATCCAGTGTCGATAAAATATGGTTACATTCTTGCAATATTTATACATTAACATGCAGTTTAATCTTCAATACATAATTCGGTAAAGTTAGGAAATGTATGCATAAAGTAATCTCGCATTATAATAATGAAACTTATTTCGGACATTTTATGGTTCTATATCGGTAATTAAGTTAGTACATAAGTACTTTGAGTGCACACTCAAGGTATCAGATACAACAAGCAAAATGGTGAAAATAATCTGTTGGTTCGTGGCTGAATGTTTGCAGCGCCCATTTTCATACCTTACAAATAACTTTCCTATTAAAGTCCATCTCATAAATTGGGGAGTATCATTATATGATATATATATATTTGTATATATATGTATTTTATATGTATATATATAACGCATATTTTTTAAATCATGGATGCTATAAAATAGCAAACTTAACGCCTATGTACACAAATGATAAGCACAATATTTATAATGAATGAAAAGTGTGATAATAGAAAGTACTTACTTTTTTTATCTAAATTACTTAATATATATAATTATGATGTAAGTACGTAAGCGAATATTCTCCGGCTATTAAAGTTTATACATACGTGTTTCACGTAGATTGGATTTATTTATCTTATAAAATGGAATATCAAATGCAATTCAATGCTACGTTATTGTCTACTATTAGATGATTAGATTGTGGAAAACCAATAAAATTTCTCAATTTTAGTGTCACGCGTTTGTTTATTTAAACAATTCGGATCAACAAATAAAATGGTTCATTGTAAAATGCTGCCAATTTCTTTTTATGGAAAATTTGTTCGGACAATATTATTCGAATTCAAACTTCAAAAACATGTTAAAAAACATGTTGATCGAGGAAAAGCCGGGTAATATCAAAATTTGCAATAATGGCGATCTCATGTGTGTGCAAGCGGGCGGATTGTGCATCTAATTCTATCACGTGATTATTTCCCTTAACTTTTTTCTTTATGAACTTTAAGATATCTTAGTAAGAACTTTGATAATTCCTATAATCATAATACGTATATAGGATTTGAAAACGTCTTAAACCATCAAAATTCGGGTATATTTAATAATTGGCCCTTTTTGTGATCCCTAAAGATAAAGTAATAATTTCGGTAAGTTTGTTAATGAAGCAACGTACTACAGCTGAACCTGACAAGTTAAAGTAGATTTAAAAGTATGTTTGCAATCTGGTGCAAGTCAAACCCCTTACAGCACTAAAGTCTGACGGTCCTTTAAATGTTATACGACCAGATGACTTGTACATACAATATGTCCCTATAAATTTTCCTGATCTAATTAATTTCTTTTTCGGAACATACCATTAATTTCCGATATACCGTTACGAACTGAATCACGTCACGCGACCGGTGAATTATGCTAGGTCACGTGATACGATATTTCCGTTATAATCTAAATCCACATTCTATATCTTGGCCATTAAGAATTGATTTCATCCATCTCTTCGTTGTCGCCGAAATTTTGCGTTTCAGGTGTTTTCATATATAAAATAAATTATCTGATTGATGAACAATGAGAAAGAAAATAAGCAAACAATACTTTTTACCATGATAAAGTGATTTAGGAATTTAACCACCAAAATGTCAAATGTCGTAATCCAATGTATCAAATATTTAATACAGTAATCCATACATAACTAATATTTGTGCAACCTTCTTCTAAACTCTTGCTTGTTCTTAAACAATTGATTGATTGGATTACAAAGTTTTTTGTTTGGTAGAAAATGTAACTTTAATTTGTCCTGATCTGGCTAGTTAAATTTAACGAAGTGTGATTAGGAAACAATATGCCAAGTTTCATTCTCGCAAATTAGAATGTCTGTTGGATGTTCGATACTCAATATTGACTTACCTGTGATATCACCCTTTGGCAGTATAAAACTGATTCAAAGAATATCATGTTTTCTAACATTAGCGTTAGTAATATATAATTACCGATATCGATTGCTTATCATTCTTTATTTGTATTAGCTTGGAATAGTTGATGTGCATCATTGAACAAAGAAAAATCCAATTCGGATTTATTTGAATTCTTGGCTGATTCTTTTTACTTTTGAATTGAAATGTTTATATAATGCTAAACTAAAGCAAAGTTATCGCCATATAGATATTCATCTACCTATTGCAAAAATAATGCCAAGTTACCTTATCAATAATAAAAATTGATTAATAAGAACTGATTAATGTTTCCAGAACAAAAGTAAAACTAGAATTCTTAAGTATTATAGTTAAAAAAATATGCAAGTTACATGTCATAAGGGCACACAGTATTAGCACTATTGATACGGTTATTATTTAAAGACTTCAAGAAAAGTGGTAATACAGTCGTTTGTATTGCTACACAGTTGTTCTACTTTTTTTTAATTATCACAATATTTAATCGAAATTTTATCTCTACTAAATAAAATATTATGTAATCAACAAATAATGAAACCAAAAATACGATATAAAAAAATTTAGTTTACATACCGTATTCTACCGTAAATAAGCACCACACCCTCTACCCCAGTTTTTTAAATGTCAGATTAACGGACATTGCAATGAGATCTTTAGCCAAGTTATTTCCGCTAATCTGGCATTTAAAAAAATGGGGTAGAGGGTGTGATGCTTATTTACGGTAGAATACGGTATATAATCTCATGTCCAATTTGTTATATATGAATAATGGCTAATATTAATACGTATTACATTCTTTTGTTTATCATTCAAAATAGTTGATTAGTCAAGTAAATAGTTTATTTGAATTCCAGACTTAAATTATATCATTAGTGTTTAACACCATAGTTGCTCCTCTCAGAGATTAACTAAGTAATTAAAACTTGATACTCTTACTCTGTTCCAATACTTCTTTTTAATTTTAATCCTAATCTTTTACCGATTATTGTTAATTGTTTCTTGTTTTTACTTATTAAAATTTATATTTGTTTATATATATTTTTCAAGAACAACATATTATATTTCTCATTTATTGTCATATATATTGCCAACTTCTTTAAAGGCAGAATTTAAACAAAATTAATTGCGTTGTTATTTAAAAAATCCGACCAAACCATGTAATATGTATTAAATTCTTTTAATACCATTTCAGTACTATTTCTTCTAACATGTTGCTAAAAAAAATTCGAAAAACTTACCTTAAAAAACAGAACTGCTAATAAATTTTAATAACTATTATATATTATAAAAAATTTCTCACATTAGGATTAGATTTTTGATTTGGGTTTAAGGTTGGGTTTTGACTTAGAACATCAAAGCATCAATTAATTAGCCAATTTGGGATAATGACATGTAAGCATAAAACACCATAGGTGTATAGTAAGGCTTTTTTAATAATGGTAAGGTCATCAATCTTACTAATTACATTATAAATCTTTTTACATCAAGTTCTCTCAGTAGATTCTTACTGTATAATTAATCTAAATCAATTAAAATATAATTCTTTTAAGAGATTAAATGATTCATGGTTAGTCTTACCTATGTAATTTATATGCTCTCCAAAAAAAAAAATTTTTTTTAAATGAAATAATAAATTTATCATTCATCAATTAAACTAGTAAATTCATAACAAAATTAAAATTATCTTTTTATAATTATATTTATTTTGACACATAATATGTATTAAAAAGGAACTCACATGTTAATAGACTTGCTGA